CGTATTTTTTGATCATATGACTCGCTTAATTTACCCATATAGGTTTAGCGTGAGGTCCAAATAACTAGCGTGAGGTCCAAATAACAATTCCCTATATTTTTGCCCACGGATGGGTGAAATCGGCACTTTAACGGCTCCCGCACGTGAGAGGGCCTCTATATGGGTCTTGCACTAGCCAAGCTCTTCATTTAGTAGTTAGGCAGGACCTTGCATTAATTTTTAAATAATCCACCCGTGCATGTTATGTCTATAACTGTTGAAGTCAATGCCTTGTCACAAACCCGACAATATATGCTATTGCGATGTAAATTTCATTTTCACATAGTGCTGCTATCTGTACACAACCCAATCGACGTTCGTCCAGGTCCGCTCGGAAGCTCCCTAACATAGGAAGTTGCCTTATATATAGAGCTATTTCAGCTTGAGGACTTGGACTCTGAATAAGATAACAAGAGCTCGCCAACCTTGCATGCCTTTCCATACTGGACCTAGTCTGTTTTCCCGAGCCGCATACGGAGTATGCTCTTGATCAAGCTGGTTAGCTCTAACTTATAGTGGAATAGTGGCGTAGTGGTTTCCTTTAGCTTCTGTGTATAAGTGTAAATAATCCTTAAGCACCCGTGCTGCAAATTAGTGCTATATCTAAATTCGTTGCGAGCAATTCGGCTAAGAATGGGCATACGAGCAACGTTATAAGCTGGGAACCTCAGACATAAGGCTACTCTATGTTTCAGATGTATAGCAACTGAAACTACTTGCAAGACGCACAAGTAGAACTTGCCTATTGATAGTCAGACTGCTCTTGAGGTAGCTCTGCGCCGAGGCTCTCTCGTTTATAACCAGCAAAGCCCCCATTGCTTCAATAAGACTAAATGCTGTATGCATCTAGCTAACTTTCAAGCTAGTCAAATCGCCAAGGAATAAGGAGGCTGTCTCTTCTATAACTTCGGGCTCCCGCTGTAATACTACATCTTGCAGACTTACTCTTATATCCCAAGGTTGAATCCCCCACCGGGGTCTACCGAGAAGAACAAATCCCTCTAGCGTCAGCAGGTATAGAGTACACTGCGCCTGACTTCATGACAGCACTCATTGAACCATCAACAGACTCTTTGCTCCCGTGCACGGTTCAGGGCGGGTCGGCATGCGCTTTCCGAGATGAAACGGTCACTTAATAATTGGCCTAGCCTGTCCAAATCGACCATAAGATCAAGTTCGTTTATTATGCCAAGACAGTCGTAGTCCCTGAAAAGCTAGAATATGGTTGATCTCCATGTCTCGGGTCCCACCTGAGTGTGAGATCCTGGTGGTATTGCGCGACGATCATTTGTCCCTGCGAATATAGTCTTGGGTCTGAGCCAGCGAAGGAATTATACCCAATGCAATGCATACGGTTCTAGACGGTGTAAGAGTAGGCTAGTCATTTATCTGTCTTGTCGTCAGATTAATGAATGAATATACACCACGTCCACTCAGACGCCAATGTAAAAATTCTTTTTTCCCTAACCCCGCGTGGTCATCTTACTCTTTTGAAATATCGAGGAAAAGAGATCCAAAGCGGCTGGGCTCTACCAGACAGTCTACTTCGGGAACGGTATTAGGGGACCATCAGATCGGACATTGCATTATTGCAACACTCTCGGAATAGCAGTCCTTATAAATCTGATTCGACTCGCCTGTCTCAGTGTGTATTTGGCAGTAGCAGAGGTACCTAAGGATCTGTCTGGAGGTATTGTCGAGGTTGGGATTTTGGAGGTAGGCGCTTGGCGATGGACGTTGCAATCTCATCGTGGGATCAATCGACTCGATCTAGTTGAGATTGTCGATAATGTTCTGTATTTTAACGGCCTAGACGGGAGAGCGATATCGGGTGATGGCACTCCTCAAGTACTAGATACCTCTGCGATAACTACTACCAGTAATTAAGATATCTTAACAGACAATGTCTTGTGCAGCTAAATCATTCCAAGGATTCGCACTCGAAAATGGAGCAGGTTAGCAACTGCACCAGAAGAACCCAACCGTTCGAGAGGAAGCGCCAGACGCCACCCACCAGGTACGATTCAACTCCATACTACAGCGGGGGAGTTGAAGCAGTTGGATTCACCTTTCAAGGCGGTACGAATCAATGCCTTGGTATATTTGCCTGTTGAGGAGGTGGGAATCTTAATGTTTATTGGTGGTGAAGTGCCTTCTGTCGTCAGTGAGTCTAATGCAACATATACCTCTGTAAGTACTCCTAGTTCATTAAATAATTCCATCGGTGCTAATGAGAGCTTAGAATAGCTGGAACTATGCCCAAGTATACGATATTTCTGCGGGTAAATGGTTCCACCACCGCACTTTGGACACTGTCGTACAAAGACGGACGGAATTATGTGCCATTGTGCACCATGACGCGTCCTCTACCACGTGTTAGATTTATGCGTTAGGCGGAGCAGTTGCTATATCTTGTGACCTGTATTCTGATATGTATGGGTATATCCTACTAGCCTCTTCAGGATGCTAACTTCTACGTGTCGATCATATCTGTCTATCCCGCCAGTCAAATGGTATCAAGCAAGGAGCCTTGGCCATGAGCGTATGTCTCATGTATATGAAGTCAAGGGAAGCCTGATATTTGGGGTCTGCGGAAGGAGAAATTGGTGTGTTGCTGAGTGAGCTGGCTCTTTTAGCATGCCCGCATCCCTGTACGATGCTCAGCTAGAGAATAGCCCACCAACATTTGATGTGAGTATATGTTTGACCTATAATATCCTGATCTTCTTCACCGGCTAATGGTAGCTTAAAGCCGGAATTACATGCCAGCACAATCCCTCTTACAGCTTCAAGGGATATTGAAGCTACACCCACTTAAAGTGGGCAGATCCCGTACTATACAATCAACTGGCACAGAATATGCCATCATCACCTCCCACAATATCTGCCGCACCTACGCCATATCCTGATAATGACAATGGGAATAAGACAGCCATTGGGGTAATAGTTGGAGGCGTTGGTGGAGCGGTAGCTACCATGCTGGTTATCTTCTTCCTTGTCAGGAGGCGGCGTCAGTAAAGGGCAAGCGGCAACGAGCATATTCAGGAGGTCAAGACCATTGTACCAGCGGGAAGCCACCTACGAGAGTTAGAAGATACAGCGCCAGCAAGAGAACTTCTTGGGCACGGTATCGGCAATGCGCATGAGCTGGAAGCTGAATAGCCTTGGTGCGGAGCTCGCTGTTATAGGCTCACAAGTATTGTCTGCAAAAACGTTGATATGACACTGTTTACGAGTTCCAGGTATATCAAAAAAACAGGTGAAGCTCAAGGATAAATGATATGTTGTAAAGCATAACCACCTTTTCCTTGATATGCCTGCAAAAGGTACGACGTATGTAATATAGCTAATACTCGATCATTTGTGGACACTGTAAATGGTTTCTCTTCTGATACACTGAATTTGTAAACAGATTTTTTTTTCAGTCTCAGGACCACCAGGAGAAATTCAATACTCTGCCCCCAATGCCTCTCAAGTACCTCTCCGAATTTACCATACTTAAGCCCTACGATAAGTCAGTATATGGAGAGATAATTGCTCTCAAACGCCGTAAAAGCGATGATGACAGGATACATTCAAGAAGCAATACCTTAGCAATGCTGCCATATGACTAGCGCCGATATCTAATTTATTGATAATCTTGGCCGACATGTACAGAGAGGTGGTGCATAGCACGTATGTATACGGCGTTTTTATTTCGTGCTGAAGCAAGTTCGCCAACATTGATACTGTTACGTATCAGAATGCTTTCACTGTTGCAGCCAATTGACACCGTATTGGTTCATCTGGAAAGAGGGTTTCAAAAATCTTAACGATTTGCGATTGTTTCCCCAAGAAGCCATTGATGCAGGATCACTGGTCACAAAACACTTCAAGACTGTTTATGTCCATCATATAGTTTAAACGGAGATATCATTTGGAACTCACATGGTAGACACATCTTGTGCAATAACACTGATCAAACTAACGGGCTTTTATAGCCACAGATATCACTACACCAGATACTTCTTTTGAAAAGACTTCCGAACACTAAAGATAATTGAAATGTTAAATTGGATGCCATAAGCTTCACGATGGCAGAAAATAGCTTCAACTGGATCTTAACAGCCTGCTATTGTGGTCTGGATGCATGCAAGGAATGCAAGCCGCTTTTGAAATCGAGGTCCAGAATGCAGAACGCAAGCTACAAATCGCGATATAGTTCCGACTTCCACGGAAGTGGTTTCAGCGGTCACTTCTATCGTCTCTTGTACTCCAACCCGGTTGTTCTAAAGCAAACCAGGTACGAAAAATTGCATAATGATTGATTGGTCCCGTGGGTACATTACATGCCAGTCAGCGTGGACCCCAAATATTTTCTAGAGGTGACGTGGTATCTGACACAGAAGGCTGAGGGCCAGGTGATACATTGGCAACAAGGCCTTCAGTCTGTGTTTCACTGCTACACCACTTATTTGATTTACATACTCTAGATTTTCGTGATGCGTACCCAGAAATCTTACGCCGCGGCCTGACTTGCGGACATAGGCCACTGGCCAATCTGATCCTGAGTCCGAACGCACCTCGCTGATACTCCGGACTTGTAAGGAATGATATATGACAACTTTAGACGTTGGGACGTGATGCTAAATTATGTATGGAAAATAAGAGATGGACTCGCCTTTCCCCAGGTACCTTATTGAACATGTCAGTCCCTGATACTTTTTTTTATTGACAACGACCTCAAATTCTTCTCAAGCACATGATCTGCATGACTGTATTTAGCCAGGAACTCGGATATTACCAAGGTGGGAGGGAGATGTGTCCTCAGGCCCCCTGCACTTAGCCTGAAAGTACGATCTCCATTCACCAATCATCATCTCATCGCGAGTTTGCTGTAGTGTCACAGGTACCTGGAGGTAAGGTGGGCTTCCTGCTTATGCGATCACTAGCGGAAAGCCAATTCTTGAATATCGAGGGGTATGTCCTCTTTATAGGAGGATGCCGGACCTATCGGAAGAACCAAGGGTTCTATGTCAGATCCCAACATAATTGTTGTGATGATCCGGCTATTATTGGATGACATGCAATATACAGTAGTACTACGGATGCTGACGTACCCAAGGTACTGACGACCACATGCATCAAGCTGCCTACGACCTTACATGCATATTGAGCGACAATTGTAAGTCGACGTGGCTGTTGTATTCGCTTAGCGGATATCTTGGAGTTGGTCAGATGTATTCCTGCCTATCGACACGTACTCCTGCCCTTGATTGGTTTCGCAACAGCCCGGCTTATATAGACGTCGCTTTTCAAGCCAGGAAGTCAATTTTGGGGTTTTTTTTTTTTTTTTTTTTTGACAGATGACAAGCAGCCCTCGCCAACAAGGTCTATCTTTGGCCGGTCAAATTGAGCCCGTCACGTCCACGCACCGAGCTTGGGGAAACGTCTTATCACCCCAGTGGCTTAGTTCCCGCTTTGCCTTTCTTTGAGGACATACTCCTATGACCGCCCAGACCGGGTTAGACTTTGGTAGTCACCCATGGGTCAACAAGTGAACAGTGCCTGATCATGATCTAGATTTGGCAAGCAGGAGAAGGAGCAAGCTGAATGGCGCTGATTTCCCACCTTATTCAGCTCGGAACTTGTATTCGAAAGACCGGCGGCGCCGTCGGTCCAAACTTAGAACTGAGGGGGATCCTTCCTTGCCTTGCCAGAGCAGGCCGAGAGGAGAGCACTTATACGCCGATCTTATGCAGCGCTGGGGACTAAAAATACAGGATTTTTATGTCTAAGACACACACATTCTTCATCTGCAGGCGTGCGGAGCGGAATAATAATCCGTTTTGAGGACGACTCGGCGGGGCCCGGGGCTTGCGCCTGACCAAGTTGAGTAAAAATTGAGCATTGCTGGTTGTGATAATTCCCGCGGCAGCAGAAGACTGACTAGACTAAACAATCATAAGCGAGACTAGACGAGACAATATAGTCAAGAACAGTTCACCCGTTGTCAGGAAGAAAGTTTTGATTGTCCGCCAAAAGTGGGCCGGCTCCTTAATGTTTCAATTGGAGGCCCGGCACACGTGCCGGGACTCTCGCATGAAATTCGGTCCATTCGCCGATAGAGACTGAGAGCCCTGAACAGGGACCCAAAAACCGATGAAAGAGAAATTGGACAAGCGCCGGGCTCAGGAGTGAGAGACTCAGACAGAGAGACAATGAAACGACATATATCGATGTGTTTCTGTCTAGTAACTTTAGCAAGTCTTCTTGACACAAAGGAAAGCCAGATGAGACTAGAGAAGGTCTCATTGGATTAAATTAAACAGGAATTGTACTATTGAGTACCCAGTCTGGATGGCCTTCTTGGGACTACATAGATCCATATATTAATTGTGGCTGAAGGAAATTGAATCATTTGATGAGGTGGTTACATCGTCACGACTAGATTGTTGTTAAATTAAAATTCCTATTGAGATTGTACAGGACCCCCCTTCCAAGGTGTCGGACGACTGTTAGAGTATAGATTCCATTCCTGGTGTGGACATCCGGCGGCTGCCCCAGGCATCCGGCTGGGTGGGCTCCAATGATGTGGTATGTGGTAATAGTAATTCCAGCAATAATACTTAAGACTTTGAAAACCCTTACAGGTAAGAAAACAAAAGCAAAAAAAAAGGTTGGTAGCAGCAACAGGATGAATGAAATGCGATTACCTCTCTACTCAATATTGATATACCCTCAGTCCCCAATAATTGTACTGATATCAAACCAGGATTATAACTGGAGTTCTCCATATTAAGGTTGAGAGATGAGGCATGCACTTGAATTAAACCAGAACAGTTCAAGTTTCTATAAATTCTTTCTCGTAGTCTCTTGTGTCCCGTTGTTCTATGACAGGTGGTTGGCCTGATGCCTGTCTTAAATGTATTTTTACTATGATTCTGAAAAGAACTATATTTTTAGTGGCTTCCATCATTATTCTGAAGCGTGGTCGGGATTAACCCCGTGGATTTGGTGGTGCCCACCTAGGTCACTAAAGCTGCACCAGTGGAAGTGACTAAGGATGACCGCTGAACGCTGATTGACTGCCCCCTGGCTCAGGCTCACCATGTCAGTAGGAAAAAGTGACTTGACAGTGAAAGTGATTGATCCCCCCTCCGCGTGCTGCCCTCCCGCCGAACTTTCGACTCGCAGTCCCAAGTTTGTTCCCCCCCAAATCTTTCCATTCCCCCCGTATATCATTTCCTTTCGGTCTCAATCTTAGGCTGGTCCTTACATGGGAAAATAAGGAGGGAAAAAAATTAAAGAAGTTTGGATTCTTCTCTTTTTCCTTTTTTCCCCTCTGATTCTTTTTCATTTCTGAAAACCTGTTCACGTCCTGTTCCCACCCCCGGAAGTTGTGTGGTTTTTGAAGTGTGCCCTTCCCGGTTAGAGTGTATCGCTCTCTCCCCTTAAAACACTGTTCGATCTATTGGTTTGGCGATCGACAACGTAAAGTATCCCATCAGCACCCTGACATTCTTCGGTCGCCACTGAGACGGACATTCTATTCACCCTCGTCGTGGAATCCTTCAAACTTCACTCTTCGTTTACTTGCCATTACCTTTCCTCTTTTTTTTTGTTTGACGTCTCTCCGCCAGTGGAAAAAAAAAAGATAAGGGATTTACTCGGGCCGTAGCAGCACAGGTCAATTCTGCTACGCCATCGCCGGCCGGTATCTGCAGTGACTCCCCTGCGTGCACCACTCCCTCGCAGGGTTTCGCCTCGCCTTTTTACCTGTCTTTTATTCGTCCGAAGGTATTATCCGTTGGCTGAAATATTCGCGAATCTGTACGTTCGGTACCGAGAGACCAATTCCGCACGGAGAAAAAGCTGGTCACCGGAGTAGGCTTCTTAGGTGGACTTACAAACACGGCGGAATTATTTGATTTTAACCCTTCGTGGAGGCCAACGTTGTCAGTCAACGTTGGAATCGCTATATGATCTCAGACGTCCATGGGAATGCTAAATTGGCTTCCGGTCCAGGTGGAAAGTCACCGATAGCGTCGGAAAAGGCCTCGACTATGCCGTGGAACTTGTCCACCGACACGTCGTCAGAGGCACCTACCAGGCCCCCGTTGAATTCTCAGCAGTCGAACTCCCTCCCTTCAACGCCGTATCAACATGCGCGGAACCTCTCCTTCCACTCCCGTTCCCCTTCCCCTCCCCACGGAAGCACTTCCCCTCGGTCAACCCATTCCGAGTCCACACACCTTCCGCCATCCTTGCGAAAACCGTTCTCCGGGTGTAAATATGAAACCGCCATGGCGTTCTTCCGGAGAAGGATACCGTATAGCTTGGGGGCCGATCTGTTGCCGGAGGAAAAGGAGGGTCTCAAGGAACGGTTGGAGCCGGAGGAGGAGAAAAGACTTACCGACGATATATTGGAGGTATATGATCGATTACTGCCGTCTGCAGAGAGTGATGATCGACGACGACAACTTGTTCGCAAGTTGGAACGGCTATTTAACGAACAATGGCCTGGTCGGGATATCAAAGTCCACGTTTTTGGGTCGTCAGGGAATAAACTCTGTTCAAGTGACTCGGATGGTATGTAGAAGTTGCGTTATTGCAGTCCGCGGGCTAATTTTGGCGCAGTGGACATCTGTATAACAACGACATATAAGGAGCTCGAGCAGGTCTGTCTGCTAGCGGAGGTTCTTGCACGACGTAAGGGAACTCACTTGCTTCCTCCAGGTCCCGACTCCCAGCTAACACCCTTGGCAGATGGCATGGAACGGGTCGTCTGTGTATCTCACGCGAAAGTTCCCATCGTGAAGATTTGGGATCCGGAATTACAGTTAGCCTGCGACATGAACGTGAATAACACATTGGCGTTAGACAATACGCGTATGGTTCGGACCTACGTCGAGATTGACGAGCGTGTAAGGCCGTTGGCTATGATCATCAAACATTGGACGAAACGGAGGATACTCTGCGATGCCGGTATGTTCCAACCATGGGGAGTCAAGGCAGCAATTCTTTCTCTGAAGTCCTCAGTGTTGACAATGTGTCTTAGGATTGGGTGGCACATTAAGCTCCTATACATGGATATGCTTGATAATTAACTTTCTCCAAACGCGAGACCCCCCGATTCTCCCTAGTCTTCAGGCTCGACCCCACGAGAAGAAGATTTCGCCCGAAGGATTGATTTGCTCATTTGACGATGACCTTGGCAACCTGGCAGGGTACGGACAGAAAAACAAGCAAAGCTTGGGCGACCTGCTTTTCCAATTTTTTAAGTATTATGGCCACGAGCTCGACTATGAAAAGTACGTCATATCCGTTCGAGAGGGTAAGCTGATTTCGAAGGAAGCCAAGGGGTGGCACTTACTGCAGAATAATCGCCTCTGCGTGGAGGAGCCTTTCAACACGTCGAGAAACCTGGGGAATACAGCGGATGATACATCCTTCAGAGGTGTTCATCTCGAACTACGGAGAGCATTCAAGTCTGCGTCGCAAGGGGATCTTGAGCTCTGTTGTGAGCAATACGAGTATCCACCCGAGGAGGAGCGGTCGTGGGAGCGACCTCCTCCTCAACCGCGGCCTGTTCTCACAGCGCCTCCGTCTTCCCGGGGCGGCCGTGGTGGTGGCCGTGGTGGGCGACATTCGCACCAATACCCTCGTGGTGGACACAATGGCAGCCGTCGGTCTTCAAATACACCGCATAAGTCCAATAACTTCCGCCAAGCCAGCAACGGTATGAGTGCATCGGAACTATCTCTGCAAGCGCAGCAAGCTCAATATCTTCTTCATGACCATCTCTACCAGCAGATTCAGATACTCCAAGCCCAGGAACAGGAACTCCGGTTACAGCTACAAAATCAAGCACTGCTTACCGGGAGAGCACCGCCTGTGCTTATCCGTCAGCCGTTCATACAGTTTCCGATGCCCCAACAGCAGGAGTCAACCGGCGACGACAACTCTCGCTCAAGGTCCGGAACAGCAAACCACGCGCCACACGGAACGCAGCTCCGCCAACATATCTACTATGGAACCCCTTACCTCCCGGTTGCGATCACGGGCGTGCAAGGCAGTAGTACAACTAACCCACCATCACCATCAGCGTCAACCGCTATGCCAGAGCTTCGGCGCAATCCACGTCGGTCATCAGTTGCGAACGGCTCCCCAGGCGGATCACTCAGAGCGCAGTCGCAGCCCGCGCGGTCGGTTCATTCTCTTCCGAGCTTTGCCCCAATATACTCCATGACGCAAGATCCCCCACAAGGTTCAAAGCAGCGTAATACGCCCGCATCCCCTGATGGCGTGCAGAGCGAAGAAGACAGCAACTTCATGCCTAGTAGTATGCCCAATGTGTCTCGTTCTCCATACTTGGATGAAAGTCGGCCAACCGAGTATATGGGATACTTCTTTGCCACCTCACCACAATTGCAGGCATACCATCAAAATGCCATGTTGTCTCCACTTCAAGCTCCAGTAGGCTTAGCATTACCAAACGGCGGCATCATGCCCTTCGTTACTAACCCTCAGGACTATCTGTCCACACTCGGCCCCCATGAAGCATTCGGTTCGTCTCCGGACAATGGCTCTACGCAGGCCTCTAAGGCTGGGTCAACGCAGCAGCGGTCAACAGCACGGCCCATGGCATCGGGCGGTCCCCTAATCGTCGATGGGTCGGTGCCTCTCAGTGAACCGCGCAGTACTACTATTTCTGCCGAGAACTATGACCCCTGTGGTGCTATGAGCCATTGTACATCGACTTCAGATGATCACAACACTGATACCCCCGCCAGCATCTCCGACTCGTTCTCTCAAGATTATCAAGATACCAGCTCGGTGGAAACCGACCAAACTCCGTACTTCGGCCGACAAGGAATTGATACTCGGAAGCCAGCCGACGCTTTAACCAACGGACACGGTGGGAAGCCCAGTCTGCTGTCAAGCCGTCTACAAAGCCTACATCTTTCGAACAGTGAGAAAATGGCAGAGCCGCCGTCGAAGCCTGGTCCAGAAAAGCACAAGGCGGCTTTTTCTCTCCAGGAGACATCGGAGAAGGACTCTCGTCTCAGACATACGACCGCGGAGAAGGGGGTATCCGGACCAGAGCTACACGGCCCGTCGAATGGTAAACGCAGACCCAATGGCGTTGATGCGTCTGAGAAGGTCAATGGAAACTCTCATAAGTCGAAACCCAAAAACCGTTCCGACACTTCGCACCACGCTGGCGGACCAGGCGACAAAGAACGGAATGGTGGCCATCCTACACGACGCATGAATGGCGCTGGCTCGACGACGCACGACTCCCACGGCAACCACTCAAGTAGTGGCTGGCAGACCACCAAGAAGAAGCAGAAGAAGAATGCCAGGTCGAATGCGGAAAACCGCCACGGTTTCCATGGCGGCTCCGAGCCCCTCCCTGCGGATGAATCTCTGAGAAAAGGTGGTTGAAGGCCCTGATGAGATCGTCTGCACTCTTCATTTGATTTGCACCAAGTAGCATGAATTACGATGTCTAAAATGTGTCACATGTCATTGCAGTGAATGGACCCAAACTTGCTTGTTGAAGTTCACAGCATCTCAACTTTACCGTGAGCTTGCTGGAGCAACCTTTCGCGAGACGATTATATCAGCAGATCGTGCTATTGTATAGCACTTGTACAGTTTGTCACAGCAAACTATCAAGACGTTCGGCTTACCATCCAACGTTATCCCAAAGTTATCGTCAAAAGGAGTTCAAGACACTTGAGCTGAATCCTACGACGCTGTATAAAATGAGGCAATACCTCTTTGAAAATGACATAATTTCGGTCGAACTGTTTCTTTTGCTTTTGAATGGCAGGTATATGACTTTTTCTTATTCTTGTGTCTATGTCTATGTCTTCCCTCTGTTCTTTTTATGTTCAATATTGGCGTTTTGCAAGGTCAAATCACGGAACTTGGCAGTCGAAGGGTCTGGCTGGGTTACAATTGGTTCGTGGGTTATTTGCGTGAGTTGCATAATTGCATATGATATCTGTTCGCTGATTTTATATCCTCGTTCGATACATGGCTCTTGACTTTGGCTGTGTCCTTTGGAGCTTGACTCATCTCCTTGGGAAGCCATTGAGCTTCGAGTTGATTCTGGGTTATGTCAGGCCGCGCTGCACTATCATCTTTGCAGGCCTATGTTGGCGCGCACTTCTGTTGTGACGACCACCTGACAAGGAAAAGGCGTCGCCACCGAGGCATGTACCAACCGCATGATATACGCGGATTGTTCAACTCGAACTCAGGAATGCGGTAGACAAAAAGGGGAGAACAGCAAGAGCGAGCAAGACTAAACGAGTTTACTATACATACAAACATCCACCTTTGATTTCGATGTTACGGATTGATTGATTGACCGATTTCGTTCCTACCCATTGCTGGCTGGGGTTATTTTCTTTTCCTTGTTTCCTTTGTTTGTTCCAGATTATATCCAAACGGCATGATCATCATCATTATCATTGTCAATATACCATCATAGCAGGGTGCCAGGCGAGTGGGTCATTGTTTCTGTGTTATATTTTGCGTTTTCTCCTTTTCTGAGAGATAATTTGTCCCTGTTTTTGTTACATATCATGTCGATCGAGTCCAGTCTGGATTGGGCGTCGGTTCAATGTAGAGGTTGGAATTTACCATAAAGAGAAAAATGATAAAAATGAGAAAATGTCTGGTACAATATGATATCATGAATAAGTCCAATTATTCAGGAGAAAGTCTCGAATCGATGAGATAGAGTCATCCGCCGCGCAGATGTTAATGACAGGTCGGATTAATAGTGACATCGCATGTGCTTCTATTATTGATAACTTTATAGGTGACTATTTCAATAACCCTCTCCAACTAAAAGCTTGAGTCCGTTCAATATATCCCAAAGGGGTAAATAATAAACCTTGCCTGTAATAAGTCATATGTAAAACCTGTAGTACACTTCATGCCTGCATTTTAAGTATGCAAGGTCTGCAAACTTTACTACTTTTTGTTTGGAATGTTACAATGCGTGAGTCAATGCAATGTAATTTTTTTTTATAATTCCTTGTTTGATCTTGCGGAGAGGAGTACATACTTACTTGTTTATATGATTACTGAAATTCCCTAGATATCTAAAAGAGGAAATACCCAGAAAGGTCCGGGTACAGTAAAATACATCAATGGATACAAATAAAAGTACCATACCCTGCAATACGAGTTGTGTCATTCCAGAATATTGATCGTCCAGAGGTCTAGACCTATTATGTCAGCCTCATACATAACCAAGTAACTTAGCTAGATATTGAATTGCATTCAGCATCGAGATTACCGATACACACCGGAGACATAGCGAACCCCAATCTGCAAGTGAAGGATACAATGTACGAGAAGCGAGATGGATATCCTAGATCTGGTCCTGCATATTGAACTATTCGAGGGCATCGAGACTTTTCCATGAGCTTCTTGGACTGTGGTTGATAGTGTCACATGCGTGCCACAAGAAGGAAGATCCTGGGAAGTATCTAGGGGTAAATTTCTTGCTGTTGGGTTCAGGCCCTCATGTAACCATGACTTTTGGTTTGATATTGCCCTGGTTTTGATTATCGTTGTCAAATGTTGGTCTTGCTTTTGGGGAGTTCTATTTATAGTGATTAGTGATTCTGGGATTCGGATTTCATGTGATAAGTATATATTAATTGTATAATTCGTATATGTATGTACATGCTTTTGTATGTCTCCGTTCTATCATCGCTGTGGGAAGGTAACTGGCTCAATAAAAGCATATAAATCATAAGCAGTCTGGAAATAATATTACAGCATGAGAAGGTAAGTGTAGTAAAACTCGTATCATACACCAAGCCATAAGAATTTGAACGAGAAGAGATCGTTTCGCTCCGAAAACATAAGAGTAAGGGAAACAAAGGGAATATAAAGGTCTAATAATACTAACAGAATGCTTCAATGAGCATGTAGGGGAATATAACAACACAAGCTGTCCAGAATACCCTCGCGCATCTGATTAGTGACCAGGGAAGCTGGTACAGAGGAGCCTCACGGAGAAGCACCCAGAGGGAGAGGAATGCGACTGTGAAGAAATGGCAGAATAGTACGAAGGGCTTTTTGATAAGGCCGCCCAAAAGACCCATTGGCTCGGAATACATGCCCATATCGAAGTAGTGGAAGCAGCCTCGCTGGAGGACGCGGAGGTTTTCATCTAAGCGGTATGTTAGTAGCTGACCTTGGTGAAGGTGCGGTATAGGAGTAAGGGAACAAACCGTTGGCAGAGAAAAGGGCGTACAACGCCATAGCCAGAATGTTAATGACAGAGGATCCGTTCTTTCGCTTCCAGTGGAAGGACTTCAGCTGCTTCAAAACCCTGTCGGTGTCTGCAAAATCGGGAACCTTTTCGGGACTCAGCAGATCCCGGAACACAAGTACATCGTTGAAAGCCACAGTCATGCCGCCACCAGTCAACGGATGCCGCATGTTCAGCGCATCACCCAGTATCACCAGCCCCGGGGTCTTGTTCTGTGCGGCGGGAAGGAATGAGTTCGGCATAGACCTCAACGGACCCTTTTCCAGTGCGGCGCGGAAGGCTGGCTGAACAGACTCAGGAAGAGACGGCAGGGTCACGTTCCACAGGTGATTCTTGACGCCACCATTCTTGACCGATGCGGATGGGAGGTTCTCTGGGATATCGACTAAGATACGGGTCTCGTGGGTGCCAATCTGGTACAGGAGGATCGGCGGATTTGCACTTAAGAGGACGTGTCCATGATTAGGCGCAGGAAGTTTCGTGTCAATTAGTTCGAGAGCCCAGAATCGGGACTTGACCGTCGGAGTATTAGAGTGGTATTGCTTCCGGAACTTGGAGGCGTAGCCGTCGGCGACGACAGTGAGGTGTCCAAAATAGCAATCCTTTTTTTCCTTGGTTTGGCACTCCACACCAAGAACCTGCTTGGTATGCGAGCAAGTGATTAGGTCTGTCGCCTTGGTCTCCACAACGGTAACATTGGGACAGGCCAGAGCTGCTTCCCGAAGCTTCATGATAAACCGTCCGTGGTGGAAGGAGCGACCGCGCGGGGGCGGCGACGACGGGGTCTCCTTGGGGTAAGGCATAGTCACGGATTTGTCAAAATAAGACACATAGAAACCGTAAGAAGGGATTGAATCAATCCCCTCCAGACATTCCGCCAGGCCTAACCGCTCCAGGGCCTGGACACCACCGGGCTGCAATAGCTCGCCGACAATGCGATCCGGCTCCTTCATCGAGGCTTCTAGCAGTAGAACGCTCCTGCCCTGTTTTCCCAGTGTAACTGCAAGCGCACATCCTAGAACTCCTGCGCCCACGATCACAACGTCGGCATCGTGGTGGATTCGTCTGCGTTCTTCGGCCGTATCGGCGGGCTGGGTCGCATTAGCATGACCGTTAGGGGCGGCGGTGGCCATTGTGCGGGGGAGAAGTCGAAGGAGGTCAGCGAATTGGGCAGAATTGACGGGGACCGCAAAGCATATTCCTTCGGAGTAGAAAAGAAGGTTCGAGGGACAATTGGCCAGGAGGGAGAGAGAGGGAATGAGAGTGGAGGAAATAAGTGTCAGTAAGTAAGGGGGAGGAAAGAGGTTAAAAAAGTTAAGGCAACGAAGGACCCGTGATATCGGCGCAGTGGCGTGACATGTGAAAGGTTTTCCGCCCTTAGACTCCGCTGCCCCTAAAGTACGAGGGACCGTACGATCTTCGTTAAGATAGCGCTCATCCTGGTTCTTATTACTACATGATAATATTCATTTCACCCTTCTTGATTGGTTCCTGACATGTGACATGCAGGGCTAGAAGTCGGCGTGGGAAATCGTTCCATATCGCTAGTGTACATCTCGGTGAAGCAACTCTATATATACAATTCTATAAAATAATAGAAAAAAATAAAGAAAAAGAAATAGAAAAAGACACCAACGAAAGAAAATTAGGAATAGATCAAAAATCGAAAGGGGATATATGCTACATCTCGCCGAATCCTCGGCTCATATTTGCCCTAAGGCCACTCGCTCATTCCATCGAGCAGCGATGGACTTCGGGTTGATATCAATTCGACCCAGAAGCACCTCTAATTCGTATTCTTCGTCCCATCTCTCGATCGTCTCCGGAATGTCAGATACCTTATACATCCGCCTCTCGTCAAGAGGCCGTTTCAGCATTCGCCGGAAGGACCGCTTCACATTAGGGTTGCTTTTGAGCTCCCATAATGCAGGATCACCCCCACTCTTCTTCTCAAGCATGTCGGCGATATATGCGAGATACTCTAGTTGCTCGGCCCGTTTGGATGCTTCCCTCGCGGAGAGACTGTCAGGATTGAACTTGCGATTTAATACTCCCATGACGCGGCTGACTTCGACAACAAGATCATGATTGAGTGCACTACCCCGAGCAAGGCCAGATAGGATGCACCATCGAATTCCGGGAATGTTATCCGTAGCCGCAAAAGCACGCAAAAACATCTTCATGCAAACCCCGTCGAAGGGTAACGTGCGGGTATAGCGGGACATGTAAATGGCCGCTAAGAGATCTATGGCTACCTCCGGCTTGTTATGCACAATTAGCCGTCTACTAGTGGCCACCGTCATATGATGTTTGACATTCATTCGCTTGTTCGACCAGCAGAGCTGATAAAATCGAAGGACGGCCATCTTGATCAGCTCCCCTTCCGACGCAGAGTCCACCGCCATGATCTGACGGAAGAACTGAGGGAAAAATCGAATGAGATGTCGGATGCCCCGCCACTCAGCTTCAACAAGCACACGCGCTTCGCCAAGACCGTGCTCAAGTAGAGTCGCAATGGCAGCCAGCTCGACGTGGAGCTGCTTGAATTGGAATCGTGCATTCTTTGCATTCTGGAAGCACTTTAGAGCTTCTGTCATCTTCCCAACGTGCATGTAATGTGTCATCTGTTTGTGAAGCTTCTGGTACTGATCGACCGGCTTTGACGGTGTCACATCCTGCAGTGCTCTTTGATACCACGGCAGCGGGCTCTGTGTGAAAGGCATCGTGTTGACCTCGGGTATAGGGAATGAGCGCTGGTCGTAACCGAGAATCTGCTGTGAGGCAGCTGCCTGTCCATATTTTACCCGAGCAGCCTGCAGCATTTGCCAGAAGCCCACGGGGGCTCCCTCAAGTGCTAAACGGCGAAAACGTAACATCTCCAGGAACTCTTGCTCATTGACGTGGACTTTCCAGCCACGCTCGCGTGCCATTCTCGTGAACTCAGTTATCATGTGCTTGTCACCCTTCTCCACAAATGCTTCCAGAATATGTTTGTACAGGATCCGATCGGGGACGATATTGAGCTTATCAATGTAGCGAAAGACGAAATCCTGGATTTCGTGCCCCGAATGAGATACCCAGTATTCAAGGAATATGCGATCAAAAATAGGTGTAAAATCACGTCGCCGGGATGTCAAATTAAGCTCGTGCATCTCCTGGAGGTCTGCTTCCACACCCGCCCAGTCACACGCGAGAGCCTTGCCGTACACGAGGAGGCCTTTTGTGCGGCAGCGAAGGGGAAGTTCGTATGTAGTCGTCATGTCTTCCACCAAAGCTTCAGCGTCTGCTAATCGACCAAACTCAACGTATGCCTTGACCACAGGGTTGAAAAGTTTGTCGCTGGGATCCTTTCCCAAACGGGGAAGCGTCGTTAAGATCTTTTTCAGTTGCCCGTTCAAAAGCTCAATACTTCTCGTTTTTTTCCACAAGCCTGACAGGTATGCACCGCACAAACCGCAATCCCGGTCAAATTGTAGATGTCTAAACAAAAACCATTTCGCTGTTGTGAGCCTGTGTGATTCGAGCAAGCATCGTAACACCACATCTACCATATCCGGTGAGAGCTGAAATTTGTGCATGTACCGAGTATAGATAGTTGCAACTGATTCTATACATCCCTTCCGTGCTAATGCAAATATAAGAACCTTCCAAAGCCTGGGTGAGACCTTGTCCACCTCCTCCAAGCGCTCGAATATGCTTCTTGCGATGAATACATTTCCCTGTTTACAGTTGACAAAAAATGCCTGGACCGCAAGCTCTCTTCTATCGGATGATAGGCCATTCAGTGAAGCAGGGTGTGCGTCCAAGAATAATTGTGCCGCATCGATAGGCCGCCCTCGATCGAGAAGATCCTGCATTTGTTTCGGGATAGAATTTTGCCTTTCCTGCAATGTATCCGTGCCATCCATCAGCTCAGAGGCATTTGAAATGGTGCCGGTCTTGCCAATTGCAGAACTGAACTGATTGAAGTTCTCCGTAGGTCGCGTGTATTCAGGCGGAAGAAAGTCGCAATGGCCGGGGAGCTTCCCTATATCCTGTTTTGTGTTCACTACCCCAGCCAGATTCAATCGAGCAGCATCGAGAAAAGCGTCGACCTGGGCTGGGTTCTCGAATGATCCAATTCCTACGTTCGAGGCGACCTCATCATGTCGACTCCCTTCCTCGCCCTCCACATGCAAGGCCTGTGCTTGTCGTGATTTCCGATCTTCCTCTTTGAATGCATCCATGCTTGTGAACTCACCGGCCTCTGCGACTTCCATCATACGAGCAAGTCGTCTCGCCGCGGAAGTTGCATCGTAATTGGGTGCGGAGGTTTGAAGGGCGCGTTTGTTCTCGATTATACGCTCTGCGACGCGGACTCGGCGATGGACATCGTACGTGATAGCCGCAACGGTGCAGAAGCTGCCCACAGTTGAGCCGGCAAGGGCCAGCTTGCGAAGGACACGCAGGGCATTGCGAGATGGTACGGCCGAAGTGCCGTGGGTAGGTTTGGTGATCATGGCAATAGGACCTGTGCACCGCTGGCAGCAGGCAGATTGGGATATCACTGATAGAGCATCAGGGGAATGAGAGATTGATGCTCAATTCTCAATAATGTAAGCCAAGAGACCACGCCGGGGAACTATCGCAATTGACGGTCGGAGTTTTGAGATAGATGATTTTCGGCGGAAAGTTTGCAAGTAGCATTGGTTTCTCCCGGCCACCGTACTGCTTGTGGTCCCATTCGTTCCTTTCCGGGTGAACCCATTTCCTGCGCACGTGACTGTACGTTGTCCCTGCTTAGTCATTCGCATGTGGATGGGCTTGAGAAGAGCAGGCAGTTTTGTTTTCTTTTCTTTTTTTTTTTTTTTGGGATGAGATCTCCTGGACTTGACGGTCAGGTATGGGTCCTTTGCTAGCAAGTTACACTCTTCTTACCTCGGCCAATTATGGCCACCTCAGCTACGTTCTGCTCTCGTCACAAGAGTCGCTGATATACTCCGTACAACCCATGACTACTAGGGCTGGGGAGGTAGCTTCAGAGTGAAAACTATGGCGTATGTTACATATCTAACATAGGTTTCATGCAGACAGGAGGATCTGCTTCCCAAGATACATCACAAAATAAATATCAGGGCATTATGAATCTTCTATATATTAAGGCAAAAGTTCATCCTCAACGGCTTCCCTGTAGTCGTTGGTTTCGGTATAATGATTTCTTGGATCGTCGAAATCAAGTCGAACTGCTGCACGTTAATACAAGGTCACAAATAAAATCTCCAGGACGTTACTAACCATGTGCTTTGATATACAAGGTGCAACAGAATGCAATCCCAAACACAAGTGCCAGGGATACAAACACTGCCTGTGAGAACTTACCAACCGTCACACTATATATGAAGCTACAGATGGAAGGGGCTATTACTCTAGCAATAGCATGTAGAAGGCCTTTAGCACCGAGAATCTGTCCTATGCGGTCGCGGGGTACGTGTTTGGTAAGAGACGATTGCAACACCGGTGCGGCCATCCCCCCTAAAGATGTAACGACTCCCGACAAGATCAAAAGTGAGCCGTGATTTGCCAGTGCAAATCCTGTAAACCCAATCATATCGAGCAGGATTGAGACACGAATAAGGACGACATCAAGTGCACCGGAACCAGAGATAACCAGGTCCTCCCTTGGTTCCTCACGGAAGATTCGCGTGATTATGGGGAGCACAATAAAGAAGTTGAGGACGCGGACGGAGCTGATGATGGAAACAAATATGCTTGATTCGACATTTCCCCAGCCGAACATGTATCCCGCATAGATAATGATGATCTGTGACGTGCCCAGGGCCATACCGAGGTGAAGCGTATCGATCACAGAGAGGAGGATGATGTTTCTTCGCAATGCCGGACTGGCACCCCCGCGATTAGGGAATAGAGTGCTAGGCCGTCCAGTTGGTGGAAATAAGACGGCCAGTGGCTCGATGATTTTCTTCGGGTTCCAAAATGTCATCGATAACCAACCTTCATCTTCTTGATGGGCGAGCTTCACCTGATGTTTTTCCTGGGCTCTCTGTTTTTGCTCCTTAGACACTGACTCTGGTATGACGAGCAAGACTACAAAGAAGAAAAGCACATGGAGGGCCAGCGCAGAACAGAATACACTCATTATATCATGTGTCTTCTTCATAAGCATAGCCACAAGGAACGGTCCAGCTGCAACCCCAGTGAAGATGGCGCCATGCAGGTACCCAAAAGCTACACTGCGTTTCCCCGGAATAGTACAATCAGAGGCGTACGAGGTGCTCAGGGCCATTATAGCGGTAAATGAACCTCCTAAGCCGTCAAACGTGGCGCC